AGAGTGTATGGCATGAATATTGTTGACATAGATCGCTGAATGATGCAAATGAATAGTAACAACAACAAAAACCTTGGGGGAAATTTTCCCTGTGGATTGAATTGCAGGGTATAAAAAAGACCAGCGCACCCTTCACACGCCTGTATAAGGGAGCCTGCTTAACCATCAAGCCAGTTTGGAGAAAAATTCTTTAGCACAGTAGTTTTCTTCCCCCTTATCAAATATTCAATTGTTTAATTTTAATTATAGGAAATCTTATGAAGCATGTAATAGTGTGAGAACATTCAGCAACAAGATTTCACATTAAATATTATGACCCTCTTGCAGTGTTCAAATTTATTTTTTACAACATGATTTTCAATGTTTACAATTGTTTTCCACTCTGTATATATTCTATAACATGTTTAGTCAATATCCTCTTGGCAGATATTTAGATGACATGTAATTTTAATTATTATAAATAGAACTGCTCCAAACATCAGTAGTGCTAATTTTCCACACATATTCATGACTGCTTGCTTGCAATGAATTCCCAGAAATAGAATTGCTGGGCTAACGAATGTATGAAAATAGAGGTTTTTTTAATATGCATTAATTACTCAGATTTAATTTACTTTAATTAAAGGACTGGGAGCCCTACAGATTGAGTCACATTCCCGGATTCCAAGTAAGCAAAGCTTTCCCTATCTAAAATTCATTCTAATTAATCCTGCTGGAATTTAAAGTTTATTTAAGACCTGCTGGGTACCTGCTATGCTAAAGTGCTTCTGGGTGGCTGTGCGCCTGCCTGGGCATAATCCCTGGCTCTCTGTTCACAAGCACCACGCCTGTGCCTCAGTGTCCCCAGCTCTACAACAGGGCTGAGTGCCTCCCTGTCTCGTGAATTAGATAAGTCAATAAATGTAATTCACTGAAAGTATCCCTGCCCTATTAAGAAGAATATTTTAATATTCAGCATCATTATGGATAAGTAAATGACTAGATCACAAATTTCCTGCTGAAAACTAAAAGTTTAGTGAATTTTTCAGTTACAATTAAGCAGTAATGTTTTCAAACTGTAAGCTAGGCCTTCAGAAAGTATTTTAGCTTAATTAGGTTCTGGCAAGAAAGAGTCCAGGCTGGCCTCGAACTTGCTATGCCCGTAAGGGACCCAGACCTCTTGGTCCTCCAGTCTCCACCTCACACCTGGCAGTTCACTGTTGTAAGTATAACACTACCAAACCAAAAGATCCTGGGGCTGAGCCAAATTCAAGCGATGGGAAAGTGGTTGGTCTCTGAAGTAAGATACTAGGCCAGGCATAGGGTTCTGGAGGCAAAACCAGCTTTCTCACTGCATGCTGAGCAACAGCGTATGGCACATGGTGACGTCACATGATTAGTGTTGCCTAAAACTAGAAGGCAGTTTGTTTTTGAAGATCAAAAACAATGCTTTCTTCTCTGAACCCCAATACCCTTTACTTGTGCAGGCAGGACACCACACAGATCTAATACTTTAGTCTCACATCCTATAACAAATCCTGTAACCACAGCACTCAGGAGGCTGAGGAAGAAGGGTTTCCTGAATTTAAGGCTAGTTTGGGCTACACACTATGTCCCAGGTCATTCCAGACTACAGGGTGAGGCTCTGCCTCAAAACACAGAAAAAGATTTTAAAAAGCAAAAATCAAATCAATGAGGGCATCAAGCTGACCTTAGCAAGTTTACCTTCTTGCACCAACTCCAAAGCCCTCGTTTGGTTATTCACAAAGATAATGCTAACAGCTGCCCGTTGCTAGGCTACGTGCTTCATACATGTTTCCTTAATAAACCCTTACCTAAGCTATCTAGAGGGCCAGTTACCGGTGCTTTCTCCCACCCCCAATGTCCCAACTTTCAAGAACCTCTTTTCCAAAACAGGCTGTTGTTCAACGGTTGTTTAAAGATCTTCTAAGGATGATTAAATGTTTGGTTTTTTTTTAATGATCTCACCTAAGATTTAAGGTCCCAGAATAGCTGTACAGCATCCAAACTGTATGAGGACAGACTCGTTAGAGTTGCTAAGAATGAGAAACAGGAACGAGGTGCAATTATCCATTCTCAAAAAGCTAAAGGCCAAGTTCCATGCTCCGAGTTGTACTGCTGCAATATCTTGAATCGTTTGAAACTTTTAATAAACTACTTGGAAAAAACAAAGGTGAGACTAATTACTACCCAGCTGTCAAAAACAGTTCAATTAAAACAAACTTTTTAATTAAAATGACTAAATGGGGTGAATCTTAACCATCAGATTTTCACTTCCCTTCCCATCGGGTAAGAGTTCAACCAGGGTGAGACTTAGCCCTGACTTCTTACGAAGGTGATCTGCCTCTGTGAGTGGAAAGCAAGAACGGTCCTCACACGCAACAGGGAGAAGTCAGCAGAAGTCTATTGAAAACAATGGTTTTTGAGACAGGGTCTTGATACATAGCCCAGGCTGGCCTCGAACTCAGAACCTTCTTGCCTCTGTCTCCCAGGGCTTTTATGACATTCATGCACCACCATGCATGCAAAGTGTAGTTGTGTGTGTGTGTGTGTGTGTGTGTGTGTGTGTGAGATACATGTGTCACGTGGCTATGCTCACACATCTACATGTAAAGTGTCAAAAGCTGACAGTAGCGTCTTCTGCTTTGCTCTCCATCCTACTTTGAGACGAGGACTCTCGCTGAACCTGAAGTTCACCAATTCTGCCAGACAAGTTGGCAGCAAGCCTGGGACCGTCCTTTTCCCTTGTTCAGTGCTGGGAATAAAGATGAACGCTTCTTCCACATGGGTGGAAGTACCTCCTGCTCCCACAGGAGCACTTTACCGACTGCGCCATCTTGCCAGCTCTGTAGCCTTTTCTTTTTTCCTTTCCCTTCTTCCCTGGGCCTGATCCCCTCCCTCCACCCCGGCAGTGTGACTCTCGGGCGAACTGCCCCAGCTCTCCTGACCATGTGGCAGCAGTATTTCCTTTCCTCAGAAATTCCATTACCAGGAAGTCAAAGCCCATAATTCTAAAAGAAAAAAAAAAACATAATTCAAAGTATTTTCCAGACCATTTATGAATCGGCAGGCAAAACTATCCTATGTAGACAAAACTTCCTTCAGGGCTTAAAACTAATGATGTTTCTTCAAAATATTTATGTTTAGAAGAAAAGATCACTAAAATGAAACAGAAAAATATCTAATCTGTGATGTGTTAAAGTTGAGTTCATCACGAAAGATTAAATGTGAGTCATTTGTAGGGTATGCTTTAACTTATTTTTGGCTTTTTTTCAAAGTAGAATAAAAGTTATAAATAAAAGTATTTAATGTAATTAACATATTTGTATAAGATACAAATATGCATAGAGGTTATTTGTGGGGCTTCTCAGATTTGAGAAAACTTCACTTTTAGATGAAACATTTTCATCTCCACTTTGTATCTCTAATACATATTTTTATGTTCAATAAACACATAAATATACAGACTCACAGACTACAATGGACACATAAATATACAGACTCACAGACTACAATGTTCTTCTCTTTGTTTCATTTTCATCTTTATCTCTTTCTTCTCGTGGTACTGGGTTCAAACCTAGCGTCCATGAATGCTTAGGCAAGCGTCTATCACTGAGCCACGCTCCAGCCCTCTATCATTTTCAATGCATGCTCATAATACAGAATGGCTAGATCAGGGTAACTGTCAAATTTCTAACCTCCAGCACACAGCACTCCTGTTAGGAACATTCTAGATCCCTCCCTACTTTCACTTTAAAAATGGAATTCTTAAAAATGGAATTGCTGCCAATCAGTGGTCAACTGTGTTACAGAAGAACAGTTATTTTTTTTTTCTGTCTAGCCTGCCAACTGTTCTCTCTGCAAACCCTACTTCCCATGCTCTCACCCTCACTCCCTCACAGGTGGTAGCTTCCATAGCTCACTCAGAAGCAACATGCAATATCTGCTTCTGTGCCTGACTGAAACAGTTAGATTACTTACCTGCAAGTCTGTGTTAAACACAGGGGGAGAGATCTGATAGCTATCACACAAATGAAGATATAGAAGCACTCAACAGAACATGCTCCGTGTTACCTACATGCTATAGAGCATGCCATATGTGGTTTCTAAAGATCAAAATGTTGAATGATCCAAGACTGGACCCAATATGGTGCTACTGGGAAACGGTGACCTGGAAGAGTCTCACTGCAGGTCTTCAGGTCACTGGGGTCATTCTCCTAAAGTGGCGCATGGAAGCCAGTTCCCTCATCTTTCTCTCTTTACTGATCAATCTTATTCCACTGTGTGTTTCCAACCATAATGTGTTGATTTGCAATGAAGCCCAACGAAACCTCTTTTTATAATTCAATTATCTCAGGCACCACTAGAGTAATAGGAAGCTGACAGAAAATACAAAAGAAAACCACAGTATCATAGGACCATGGGAAAGACTAAATTCACAAAGACTGGCCAGACCACAGGCTGCTGAGGATGCACACAAATCGCTCTGCTTTCCTACTGCTGGAGGGAGTATACAGTGGTTGGATCTGGGTATCCTGACAGTTATGAACACTCACTATTGATACAATAATACATACATATCTCTACAGGTATGCTAAGCAATGGAAAGTGGACACAGCACACAGACCGAGTGGCCCATGTAACACAAAACACTTAGGATAAATCTCATCTACATTAGCTAATCGACAGTAACCTTGGGGTAAGATGTATGTGTGTGTGTGTGTGTGTGTGTGTGTGTGTGTGTCTGCATCTATACTGGGTACATAAACATTTTATATTTTGATCATGCCGGTAGTAACACCAAAATATAAATTACACTAAATGCATTTGTGTATGTGCAAAATATGACCAGGTCATTATATATAAATTATATTCCATAAACGTTTACTGCTCAAGTTCTCAATTTAAGCCACTTTCCGGACTAAAGGATCTGCAGGCAGGCTTCAGGATCCTGCAAGAGAAGCACAACTCCTCGACTGACCCAGGTCACCTGGACTCACCAGTGAGGGCTCCTCCCAGGCTCCCTCGCCGCAGCTGCTTCCCGTCGGCACTCAGCTGTCTCTTATACTTCAGCGACTTTCCAAGGCCACAAGCCACTTCTGGGTTGCTGCATTTCCGAAACGGCATGGGTGGCGGAGACAGTATGTGGTCGAGCTGGAGAGAGAAGGGCGGTGTCATCAATTCCGGGCACACTCAACACAAGGGCTTCTCAGGCTCCCCTCTTTGCACCTCCTTTCCCAAACACACTCCATCCAACCCCGTTCTTAATTTTCCTAGTTTGGAAAGTTCTAGATTTCATTCTTCTGCCTTCCTTCTGAGGAGTACCAGGTTTTGAAGGCAGGTCACAGCACATGAATAGGCCCTGAGATTAAGTTTAATAGATTATGACCACAATTTTTATTGCAGCTAAATAATTATCAAATTCCAACATGGGCTGAAAAAATGGCTCAATCAGAAAAGTGTTTACCATGAAAACATGGAGCCAAGTTTGTTCCCCAGAATACATATTTTTTTTAAACAAAAAAGCCTGGCATTGTGGCACAGGCTTGTAATCTCAGCCCTGGATGGGTGAGATTGGTTTATGGGCTTGCTGGCAAGCCAACCTATCCTAACTGGAGAGCTCTGGGCCAGTACCTGGAAAGTGATTCCTGAGGTTGACCTCTGGCATCCACATACACACACAGGTACACCCAACCCACCACACACACACACACACACTGCAAACAGGAAGGTATCATTTCATCACTGAATTATACATGTATGCATTGTATTCCAGACCCCTATATAAAATATGTACTTCTGTGGACCACCCCCATATGAAACATTGCTATATAAAAACAGATAAATTTCATATATTGCTCACACATATACACACACAAGAGAGGAATTTCTAAGCACCGAAGCCCTTAATGGAAATCAATACTCCTTATATCACTCTATAGCTCTTCAGAAAAGAAAGCCTGTCACAAGAATCAGAGAAACCGAAGTCACTTCAAGAGACAGCTTTCTGCAGAAGGATCCCCTGGGCTAAAACACTCATGTCACGATCTGCTCCACTTTCGCGAGAACACCTTCTAGACCTTAGGAGAGCAATACCTCCTAAATGTTCACCTGCAAGGAGCAATACCCGTGTGTCTTCTAAGACAGTTATTAAGGACAAAAAAAAATTTCTGTGCACATACGTGTGCCCTTCTCACTATTAAGAGCCCCGAAATATTTACAGAGTGTCACAGAAATTCCAGATGCCACACCAAAGGGTCAACTTCATACAGTTTAAAAGGCAGGATAAACTTGGACAGCACAGCTAAATGCCATTTTAAGGGAGGCTTCACCAAAATCTGTTTTGTTTTCGTGGGAAAAGATTGGCACTCGGGTGTCACTATCTGGTTTGTTTTTAAGACTATCATAGATGTTCTTGTAGGAGGAAGCCTGTCAAAGGCTAAGTCATCCATTTGTCTGTCCGTGTGCTATGGTACATTCAAAATCGCTGCCTAAAGAAAGCAGTGCCTGCTGCTGGTACCCCCTCCCCACACAGTTGAGACTGAACCTTCAGTGGTTCAGCGTCACGAAATATGAGCTTTCTCTCAACCTCGACTGTGTTCGTCAGCAGCACGCAAAGGACTTGGAGCACTTCTATTAAGAACCATCTCCGTCTCCCAGACACTTGCAGTATGTCACTGCCAGCTGGTGTTTTAGTGAGAGGACCGTGAAGAAGGAGCAGTCCACCCCCTCCGGGATCAAAGCCACATCAGGAGGGGAAGGGACCCCAGGGGAGCACTTCTCAAAGAAACAGTTCTTTCAAAGGAGGAGCTGTAGTCATCTGAAGGTGTCAGCCCAGGCTGCTGTTCATGACATTAAGTGTCCACTTACGGGGCCTCCAAGGAGAGATTCCTGTCTAGCCTTAAACATTTTGCCCTTAAATCTTACTCCTGAGCGACTGATGCAGTGCCCCATCTGTAGTCCGAATGCAGCCATTACGTCAGACCACACAGAGGATATTGGGGTCCTATTGTTCCCCATTGTTGGTACCACTGTATGTCCTTACTCATGTGTCTTTTTTAAACTGCCAATTTATTATTATTATTATTATTATTATTATTATTATTATTATTATCTTGCACTGAAAATTTTCGGGAGAAAACTTGTGCCTATGTAAGTACAGAATGAATTAAGTGGGAGAATGAACATCCTCTGTCTGTGTACCAGGGCAGAAATGATATCCTTTCCTCATTGGCTTTCACTCCCTTCCCCAGTACAAACAAGCATGTGCAGCCCTACCCCCCTCACAGTGTCTTCCCAATCAATACTTTAGCATGCCTCTTCGAAGAACATAGATAATCTCTTAAACTCATCTCTTTTATAATCTACATATTCTTATACAGCATCTCCAATTTTTTGAATTAAGGTCAAATGGAAGAGCCAGGAAAACTACAAAATAAGGCTCTTTTATGCAGACTTAATAGTAAATTGCTCTTTTCCGTGGCTAGGAAAATTGCAGCCACAAGGTGGCAGTGTACCATAGACATTCAGCAACATGTTCCCATGCCAGTTCCTACTAGTGAATGTACCAAGAATGAGAGACCGCCCGCCCTCAAGCCATCGAACGGGTTCAGGTCCACTCTACTTAGCCATTTTCTCTTAATTACTAGTGGCAGCTGCATAAAACACAAATATTTATTGTTTAAGGTCCATCAGCTTCTGCTACCCGTTTTTCATTCCCTTGCAGAATTACAGTTAATTACTCTGGGGATGAGTGTTTTATCACAAAACAACAGAGGGTAGAAAAGAAGTAGAAGATGGGGGGGGTGGGGGGAAGAGGTCTTTCCTAAGTAGGAATAGTATGATCTCCTTAGATATTTTCAACAGTCACAAATGACAAGGGACATCTGTGGGGGGAAGAGAAGGAAATTAAAGACAAAGTGTGTGTGTGTGTGTGTGTGTGTGTGTGTGTGTGTGTGTGTGTGTGGAGAGAGAGAGAGAGAGAGAAACAAGCTCCTTTTTCCATTACAGAAATGAAGTCCACAGGCCGGATTTTCCATCAGAATCACAGCCTCAAGAGGAGACTACTATTTTAAACCCGGGAAAATTGAGGCAGTGACCAGTGAGGGCTGGAAATGTCTCAAAACCAGGAGAAAACCTATAAAGAGAACAACACTCCCAGAAACCATTTCCCTCCTCTACCAGTTCACACTCCCAATAGGGCTCTCTCTAAACATATCATTTTTCCAAATTTTCTGCATTGTCAGTGGCTTTAGTCTTTCTATAACAATTAATCAAAGCTTCTCAAAATGGCCCGCTGCAGCCTGGCACTTCATTTTCCATTTTTTGCTGGGATCCCAACACTCACGATCCCTTAAAAAACACTTCATCACACCCTAGAGCTGACGGTACGTATCAAATCTGTCACTTAGAACATGGCCATTTAACTGATCTCCATTTAATGTTTTCCAACTTTTCCATACCCCGAAGACGGTGCTCTGCAAGTTTAACAGAGGATGTCCTGAAACTCTCACCGAGGCTCAGGGACACAGACGCATGGCTTTGCTCTGCTCAGTCAAGCATTTCCGGTGTCCCTCCCTCAGCAGACTGCAGGCTGCTCCAGAGCCCAAACCCCATCCTGTGTCACCTAGCGTGCCATTAGCCATGAGCACCTTGTCATGGAAGTCATCATCTGAAGATACACTTTTCCTTTATCCATCGATAGCAAATCGGGATTTTCAGGGACCGACTTCCTCAAAAATCCCTACATTGGTTTTAACAAAGCTGTTTTCCCAGTATGTTTAGGGTATACTGGGAACAGGTCCATTTGCATATTACTAAATTTATAATTCAGACAGAGGTGCAGCATGCCACCACACGCCAAAGATGGACCACTCCTTTCCTTCGAAGCCTGTTCAAGGAAACACAAAAGCATCCTAGGGAACCACAGGTGCATGACCAAGAGAAACCACGTCTGGATGTGAAGGGAATTCACAAAATGCCTGATCCTGGGACTGCTGATCATACACAACCATCAGTGTGTCCCGTAACTGTCTCCTTGTTTACTGTCGGACAAAAGGCTGAGAAGAATAAAATCCATCACGGTTACATGTGACTTCTGTCTTCAAAGACGAATACAAGGTGAATACATGGCGTGTGTGAGAGCATCTAATCTTCAGTTCCTCTGCCTTTCCCATCACTTACACCATCTGCAGACAAGACAAGGACCATGGGTACATCCTCCTCTGCCAAAGCCCCTCCCCCCAGCATGCGCCACCTACCTACCTCTCTAGTGCACACTGTAACCGTCCACAAACACCAGCTTCCAGCTTATCTACTCTCTCCCGCTAGATCTTCAGACACTGCCCCGCCAGGCACGCCAATCGTCCCACTCACGGTTTCTAAGCATTTACAGGGATCTCATGAGGAGAAGCAGACACAGCTCAGACAGTAAAGAACCAAACTCACTTATTCTCACTCTTCAGGATGCAAAGCTTACGGTCAGTACTAACTTCTCTTTCTCATCCCACATTCCAACAGTGCGCCTGCTAACTCATCCTTCAAAATACATCTCCAAACCCACTCACCTCATCTGTCCCACTACCCACCTTGTCCCTGGCGATCTCTTCCAACAACCTCCCAAAGGCTCCTCCCGCCTGCTCACTAATCTCAGGACAGTCACCAGTGGCCGTTTTTCAAACATATGCCAGATTCCCCAGCTGGTCGGCTGGAGGAGTTCTTTCTTGGTTTGTCCTTCACCCAAAACAAACTCGGTGCTGACACACTGGCCTGCTAGGACCTCCCACCTGCTGACCCCAGCCAACACTCTCCACTGTTCTCACCCGCACCTCCTTCTTCTGCAGAACCGCAATGGCTCCGGACATCTTCCTGGGAGACACCCTTAGCTAGCCTGTCTGCTCCACGTTTCCAGGACTCTGTTCAAGTGAGTCTCTCTGGGAGGCTCCGGCGCTAACTAACTACGTAGATGACCATACTCCTCACTCGATTCTTTTTCTCATAGCATTATTGCCATGTCATATATGAGAGCTTTTTGTTTTTTGTCATTCTCCCTCGGCATTGGTGTGAGTAACAGGAAACTTTATGTCTGTTTCTTCTGCAGCTTTATCCCTACAATAGCACTCATGGAAGAAGGAAGGGAGGGAGGGAGGGAGGGA